TTTATGATAATGGCAGGACTTTCTGCTTAGCAGATGTTTAGTGGAATGTTGGTTTAATTATTTAATTTTGTACAGCTATACACAACTCTTATAGCTTTAATAAAGCCAGCATATCATCACCCCAAGAAGAAGAAGATGGTAAACCACTTCTAATGGTCATCGTAAGTCAGACTTGACGGCATGTGATTATTATTATAAGCAATTCTTAGAATTTCCAAAAGCAAAGACATCCACCTTTGTCCTTAAAAAATAACAGCACCTGCAAACTGACCTTGAGCTAGGCAATCACTTTGTTTAGAAGTATCCTAAGATGTCATAAAATGGCAAGAAAGTTTTTGAGTTCTACAAAACCTTCCTTGAAGCTGGTTGACAAATCTCTCAGAATACAATGAATTTGGAGGAGTTCCCCAGTGTCCACAGACTTTGTGAGGCACACATGAAGACTTTTCCGGTCAGCATGGATCTATGTGTTTTTACAGTTTGTTAGTGTAAGACACTGCTTTGCCTGTCCAGTGAGGCCGATTGGGTCAAATACAATAATGGTTCTTGTTTCAATACTATTTCGTTGAATGAAGTCCAGGGTCTGTTTCAGAGTGGTGCCAAATTACAACAAGAGTAGGGCAGGGCAAATCTATCAGTTCACTTTCTCCCATATTTCAATTTTTTGAAATAAATCCAGACTAAACTGACTGAACTGAAACAAAATTCTCACCGATGCTTAGTCAACATTGAGATTCAGAAGCATACCTACTTAATGCCATTCACTGCCAGAATGCCATATTTTCTACCTTCCATTATAGAAATAATGAAAGAGGTGCTCAAGCCATTTTGCTGCCTGAAGCAGGACACCAAGCGATGCCTTCTTCCTTGTTGCCTGTTGCTCCCAAGTAAAGTTACATAGTACCCTAGGTATTTTTGACACCTGAGGCAGGAAATTCAATGAGCACTCTTCCTAGGCAGTAAATACACAATACTGTTAGTGAAATCCTATTAAGGAATTTATTTATTTATTTATTTTATTTATTTATTGGACTTATATACCGCCCCATAGCGCTACAAGCACTCTCCGGGCGGTTTACAATTTTAATTATAAAGGCTACACATTGCCCCCCCAGCAAGCTGGGTACTCATTTTACCGACCTCGGAAGGATGGAAGGCTGAGTCAACCTTGAGCCGGCTACCTGGGATTTGAACCCCAGGTCGTGAGCACAGTTTTAGCTGCAGTACAGCGTTTTAACCTAAATCCTATTAAGGAATTGTAATCTGTAATGACCCCAAGGTGCAGTGATCCATCGGATCTCTAGGTTGTGGCCTTGTTCAAAATTAGAGCTCTTCCATTTGTGCATTATGTAATGAATATCACCCTTGTACAAGCATTCAGTAAAGAACAACAGCAAGAGCAATGGGCCATTTCATGTGCAAAAAAATTTGAACAGGATTCTACCCTAAATGACTTAAAGTTGCCTGAGGTACTAGCCTCATTCTGCCTTCACATGGTATTGGGGTTAGGCAGTGTAATGTGATAGCATTCACAAAAAGACCACTGATATTTTTCTACAACAAAGAACTGAACATATGCGTGTAAATGATGTACATCTTCATATATGCATATATTTCATACCTGTCGTACCTTAGCTCATATTTCCAAGACACATGTCTATGGGTGTAATTAAGCATTTCACATATTTCTTGCTTAAATAATAGTAATATACTGGTGCTCGTTGCAATAATCATACATATAATGCTATTTGTAAGTTACCAGAAATAGTTGCCATGACTACTATGTATAGCAAAGTCCAAGGGCTTCTGGATTGCAAGTGGATTTCGAGAACTACTTGGATGAGTGCAGTAACAATTTGAGCATTTCTTCTATAAACAGCATTTCTTTTCTCTTGTCTGAGTCCAGTAAATGTTTTTGTTATTTAAAAAAAGTGTGAAGCTGCTAAACCGGACCCCCTTATGAGGAATGTTCTTTCAGACAAGTACTCTGCAGGGCTGATAGGTAGATCAAAAAGTCGATGCTGAAAAGAGCCTACAGTTGATGGCTGCCAGAGACAGTCAAAGGCTGTCCTGCTGTGACAGCTAAGAGCAGAGGCTGAACCATTCTTAGTCAGGTTGAGCTTCAGATCGTACTCCAAAAAGAAAAGAGCTGACAGAACTGGAGATCCTGCAAGCTGCAGTAGAGTGTTCAATGCAAGGCAGGGTTTAACTGAGAGAAACACTGGGAGACTGTTTACAGTAAGATCAAAGAGTTGTTGTATGAGCATAGGAAGTTGTTTTATATGGAGTCAAATCATTGGTCCAGCTCAACCAGTGCTATCAACTCTGATTGGCAATGCCTTTTGTGGTGATTCCCCATCTAAACACCAACCCATTTTGACCCAGTTTAGCTTCCAAAATCAGATTAGATCAGATTTGTTCAGGATAACAGTATAGTCTCACTGTCACAAGTGATAGCAAGAAAGATGTTTTGAGAGGATATTTGAACATTTGAGGAGTTAATCCCAGTCTCAGGCATTATACATTTGATATACTTCAGATGTACCTAATCCCTGTTCTTTAATGTTCTGTTTCAGAATGTAAGCACATGGCATTGAGAACAGGGAAGAATTTTAAGAGTGCCCAAGAAATAACTAGTGGGAATAGTTCATCTGTGAGATGTAAGGAATATTTTTCAGGTCCTGAGAAGGGTGTATTAATATTTTCTAGTTGCTCTTGTATAGATGAACTTGCTCTGGATAGACATTTTGCCTGCTCTCTCTGAGGTATATATGGAAGGGGGAAATGAGGCTGCTAGATTGAATGCAGAATGCTAATTCTCCTGCCATGCTGATTGGGGGTGTGTGCGCTCTGGAAATTATAATCCAAATGTGGGCTACTTCTAATTTTAAAACAGGTAGCAACAACAGTGAGGAAGAAAGATGATGGGGTGAAGAGTGAGTTCCCTGGCAGGGAAGGGGGCAAATGCCCTGAGGATGTAGGCTGTCTTGGTCTCCATTAGGATCTCTTTCAGTACTTCTTTTCATGTGCCCTTTTAATGAGGATAGATGGTGAAGGCCGCTTATTCAGACTGAGGCATTTGTGAATGAAGGTGTCAGGGCTGATATGACTGCGAAGGACTTCTTCCTGAAATCTTTGAAAGCTGCTGCCAGCCAAAGTAGAGTCACTAATTTATGTTCGCCAGTGTTCTTCTTGATAGATACAATTTCTTGTGTTCATATGGTGATGCTTGTGTGGGGAAAGGCCAGAGAAATAGTGCAGCCATTTTACAGAGCATAAGGACTACATGAATAGTACTTATTGGGAAGGCTTGGATGTAACAGCCCTTGATATCAAGAAAATAAAGAAAGAAAACTGTCCTACTACTCTCCATGCCCAGTTTCTATGGATGGTCAAACTGTGGACTTGTCTTCTGCAAAAAAGGAGACGTGAAATATTTATATTATTTATGGTATTTGTTGAGAGTCAACAGTATCCCATCCTTGAGAGTTCAGGGCCAAACCCCAAGTGCAGTTTCAATAGGCAGAAGTTGGAAGAGGAGTCTCCCCCACTGCCCCAAGCTTTGTGTCGCTGTTTCCAGGGCTTGTGCAACAAGAATGCTTTTCAGTCACTGTGTTTCTTCCAAATGGAAGCACAGGCCTGACATCGGCATGCCAAACTAGGAGCAAGGGGAAGGAATGAGGGGAATGCTGCTGGGCATGTACACTCATGCCCTTTTGACATACAGTACCCTCAATATAGACACAACCCTGTTACTCCCAAATCAACCTGTTTCCTCTTTCGAATTCTCTTCATCCTGAGATTTGTTTCTCTATCTAGAGACACATAGGAGCAATTCTGAGACTTCAGCCATTGGCCTGAGATCTGACCAGCTGTGTTCATGATCAAAATTGTTAGTTCTGTACTGCTCCCCGTCCCTAAAAAGATGGGGAGGAGGGCATGCTCTAATATCCTCCGAACAGCCCAAAGCTGCATTTGTGCTTTTCATACCTACCCAACCTTGAAATAAAAATTGGAATGTTAATTCATTATGCTTTACAAAGTAGAACTTTCCCATCAGCTTCATTTTATGCCTGATGCAGACTATACCTGTTCATATATTGTGCATCCTCATGCATCTGAATATGTTCTCAGTGATGACAGTGAAAGCCCACATTGAAATGAAAACTAAGAAGAGTCCCTTTTTGGATGATGTATAAAGCTCACAATGCAATCAAAGTTTGGAAAAGTTACTTCTTTGAGCTGCAATGCCCAATATCCAAACTCTGGCTGCATCATCTTCTTCTTCTTCATCATCATCTCCTGGGACACTTTCTCAGAGGAAGGGGTGGGGAAGTAAACTGCACATTTGGGAGTGTGTGATGAATATCTGATCTCTGCCACTGGATACTCTTTATGCATCTAGTTGGCATGTAGCCAACGTTTGATGGACTTGCCAGTTGCAGACAGTGGAAGCACTGCTTAGGGCTCCAAGATTCAGGTGCATGGGAGTTACACAGAAAGGAACATAAGATGCTCTAGCCATGTAAGCTACCTCTGCCTGAGATTTCTTTCCCTTTAATTAAATTGTAAGCCCTTGGATTTCATGGATAGGAAGAAACCTCTTTACTCGCCCTGCAACAGAAAAGGGACCTCACTCTCCCAGCCAGAATTTGTGAGATTCGATGGCTGGGTAGGTGAACTGTCCATAACACACACTTGTCTTTGGGCAAAGATTGATGGATTATTGTTACCTCTTGCAGCTGAATGAACTCATGACTCAGAGCATATTACAAGCAGTTAAATTGTGTAGCAATTAATGCACAGAGGCAGAAGAGAGTGCTAAAGCCTGCACTGTTTACTGAAATGGGAACCTGGCTCTTGACTTTAGGAATGCCTTTGTTTTATCTCAAGGACTCTTTTTGAAAAAAAAACCCTGCTCAGATTGCATCTCCCCACAAGATCGGTTTGGTCTAATCTTTTTCTCTCTGCATTTTTTGTTTTGTTTTTAATTGCTGTAGAACCATGTGAGGAATGCTGCTGCAGCAAGAGACACACAGAGGGAGTGTTGAGGTTTAGACTCCCGTTCTTCTCCACTCTCCACCACAGGATGGAACAGAGAAAAATCTGGCCTCGGATATGGGACTCCGACGGCTGGACAGTGGCCTGGGTGCTTGTTTTCTTGATGTTCTTTTCTAGGCATGTCACCAGCACACCTACGTACAATACCTTCCACTCTGAGAACCGGGAATGGACTTTCAACCACTTGACAGTCCATCAGGCCACTGGAGCAGTCTATGTGGGAGCGATCAATCGGGTTTATAAGCTATCTGGAAACCTGACCATCTTGGTAGCTCACAAGACAGGACCTGAGGAGGACAACAAATCCTGCTATCCTCCACTTATTGTGCAACCCTGCACGGAAATTCTGACCCTGACTAATAATGTTAACAAGCTATTGATTATTGATTACTCAGAAAATAGGCTGCTGGCCTGTGGCAGCCTCTACCAAGGAGTCTGCAAGCTGCTGCGCTTAGATGACCTCTTTATCCTGGTGGAACCATCACACAAGAAAGAGCACTACCTTTCCAGCGTAAACAAGACTGGCACTATGTATGGAGTTATAGTTCGCTCTGAGGGTGAGGATGGGAAGCTTTTTATTGGTACAGCAGTGGATGGCAAGCAGGATTACTTTCCCACACTCTCTAGCCGAAAGCTGCCACGTGATCCAGAGTCATCATCCATGTTGGATTATGAGCTCCATAGCGACTTTGTATCATCGCTCATCAAAATCCCTTCAGACACACTGGCCTTGGTCTCTCACTTTGACATTTTCTATATATATGGATTTGCCAGTGGCAATTTTGTCTATTTTCTCACTGTCCAGCCTGAGACTCCTGAGGGAGTGTCTATCAATTCAGCCAGTGACCTTTTCTATACATCTCGAATTGTGCGTCTTTGCAAGGATGACCCCAAGTTCCACTCATATGTCTCTTTGCCCTTTGGTTGCGTAAAGGGTGATGTGGAATATCGCCTCCTACAGGCAGCTTATCTTTCCAAGCCAGGAGAGGTGCTTGCCAGGTCCCTCAATATCACAGCCCAGGATGACATCCTTTTTGCCATTTTCTCTAAGGGACAGAAGCAATATTACCACCCTCCTGATGACTCTGCTCTTTGCATCTTTCCCATCCGTGCTATCAATGCCCAAATCAAGGAGCGCCTACAGTCTTGCTACCAGGGGGAAGGCAACCTTGAACTCAACTGGCTGCTAGGCAAAGATGTACAGTGTACTAAGGCGGTAAGAAATGTTCACAGTATTTTAATGAGCTTCCTTATGGATGAACGTATTAAGAACATCATAGTAGATCATGAGCATTTCCCTTGAAGAGCTGATATCTTCTAACAGATAAAGCTCAATATTTATTTTGAAGAAACAGATTCAGCTTGAAGTTTAGCCCACAGGCATAGGCTATGACCTTGAGCTATTTCTGTTTTCTCATAATATAAAGACAGCAGCAAGGATGTGTCAGTCTTAGTTGAGAAATATTTATTTACAGGAAATGTTTTTAGAACAGTTCATATTTATAAGTGTTGCTCTATAAAGCCAAAGTGATATCAGGTTATTTCTGTCTCTGTTCTTCCAGTATGAAAGTGAGAAAGGTAATCCATTTATTTATCCTGATTCATGATGGAAAGGTGACTTTTTAAATGGCCAAATGTCATCCTTCCATCATGTTAATGGAAAATCAGGGTACAATGTAGACGATCAGCAGATTCAGTGTTTATTTGCAGTCTGATCTATTTCCAAATCAGAGAGAAGCAGAGGCGAACACCTTTTCTGAGCAGAAGGGTTTTGCATAAATAAGCTTCAAAGTTTAATGATAATTTCAGTATAGCTCTGCAATGTGTGTTAAGCAGAGAAAAAAATTCTGCCACATACTCACATACACAACCATTTGATTTCTAACTTTGTGACTAATTAAGAAATGTAGAGTAGCTATTAGAAGTGCATTCATGCAGTGGGGATAATCAGTAGTGATTAGCATGAGGCTGCTCTCACTTCCTGTTTCAGTTTCCTATAGGCATCTAGTTGGTCAGTGTTGGAAAAAAATGATGTTTTATAAGGCAGGGCTTTGGCCTGATCCAGAAAGCCTGCTCTTATGTTTTATGCGGTTAGGTCACTAAGTTTGTCTGCAAACCTAATTTGCAAACTTAGTTCATCTGCTTTGACTCAGCTGCTAGAGAAGACAATAAATAACCAGTAAATTGTAAAGCATTTTATATTCAGAATGTGCATACACATGGAGATAACTGTCATTTATTCTCTGACACCATTTACCAGATGGATACAGTGGACCCTCGACTTACAGACAGCTCAACTTACAGACTTTTCGCGTTACAGACTTCTCTGGCCACAAAATTTAGGTTCGACTTGCAGCCAGAGAATCAACCTACAGACAAGGGAAAAAAAACCAAAATGGAACCAAAATGGAACAAAAATGGCCAGTTATGGCATTAATTGGTTTTCAATGCATTGTAGGTCAATGGAGACTCGACCTACAGACTTTTCGACTTGCAGCCACTGTTCCAATACGGATTAATTCCGTAAGTAGAGGGTCCACTGTAGAAGGAAAGCACAGAAAACAGAAAGCTGCTAATTGAGGGTTACTTAAAACACACACATACAGAGAGAGAGAAAGAGAGAGAGAGAATCCCTAGAGCCAGGAGCTCTGATATCCTATGTGTCAGTAGGACCTGCCCTTTGAACCTTATTGGTCTCTGAACTGAACTTAGGCCTTATGCTTCATTTGTGTGGCTTACTTAAGATCAGGCCATAAAGGAAGTCTGATTACTTGCAGCTTAGTACATGATGGCAAGAAAAAAATGAGAAAGAATTGCGTAGCAGGAGACCATTGGAAACTTACGTCAACTAAAATGTGTTAGTCTCTAAGACTCCACAAGCCTCTTTCTTATATTTGCTGCAACAGAGTAAGACAGGGACCCCTCTGGCATTTCAAACACTTTTGTGGGATAGAAAGATACAGCCATATCTCCTGCTGCAGATTAAATTCCACTGCCTCTGGCACCTTGTGGGAAAGCTCTTGGACAGAGAGAGAGTGCAAGTGTTTGTCACTGAGTCAGGCTGTTGTACAGAAGGGAGTTGGCTATTTCCCTGAAAGGCAGGAGCAGCGACAAGAAGGAAATTATCATTTCCTCTCTCCTTTAGAATGCAAGCACCTGCACTTCCTTTGGCTCTTTCGGAATCTAATAGTTGAGTCATTTTACATTTTTTCTTTTTAACTTTTGACAAGGGGAAAGAATGATGTACTGTATCTGGTTTTGGCCTTCACCATCTCTGTCACTTTATCTAGAATGGCAACTTTCTTGTTAGGTTGAAATGTTTCACTCTTCATCCAAGCAGCTTCTTCAGTCCTGAAGCCAAAGTCTTCAGACTAAAGAAGCTGCTTGGATTAGTAACAAAATCTTTCTACCTAACAAGAAAGAAGTCCAGTTGCCATGACTCAGCTTCTAGATAACCACACCTGGATGACTAAGAATCTTCACAGATACTCTGCCAGGTTGTTTTCAGAAGAGTAAAAAGATTCTGACTGTGTCTGAAGGATGAGGAAAGCCCAGTCCAGTGTAATTCTGATATGGGTGATAGTGAGCTAAAGTATTTCATGAGCTGGCTCTATGGTGTAAGTAAGGCTTCTCTCTCACACAGGATGTAAGAAAACTGTAATCCCAGGGGCCTATTCCACAAGGCAACATGACACAAGTGTGTCATACAGCAGACATGCAATTATTTATGCAGTTATGGATATATGCATATACACTCATTTGTACATCTGTAAATGGGTATGTAAACATTGTTCAAGAAATAATATAGTGAACTTAATCTTGAAGGTGTGTCTTTTGAGAGACCTAAAATAGACACAGAGATACATAAACTTATTGCACTGCGTCTCAAATTTCAGAATGCTGGCTGAGGCTCAGTTGAACAAAAAAATTATTATATGACAGATCTTGCCAGAGATGCCTTAGGTGGGCTCAAGGTGTCTGCTCTTTGTTGTTCTCTTCATTTCCTGGTCATTCACGCTCATCCAAATGCCTTCTCCTTTTCAGCCAGTCCCAATAGATGATAACTTCTGTGGGTTGGACATTAACCAGCCACTAGGAGGCTCTGTACCAGTAGAAGGGGTGACCCTTTACACATCCAGTCGTGACCGGATGACTTCTGTCACTTCATATGTCTACAATGGCTACAGTGTGGTGTTTGTGGGTACCAAGAGTGGCAAGCTGAAGAAGGTAAGATTCTTCTTTCTTTCCAGAAAGCCTTGAGATGCATCTCTTATTTTCTTTGTGTGTTGCTGGTTTCAACAAGAGTGTTGCTAACTTTTAATAGTTTTGGAGATCTGTGTACTGACAGTCAAGTAAAAAGCTGTAAGAAAATAGGAGGGAGATGCATTTGAAAACAGATTAGTAAGCACAATTGATACCTGCTATTGATTGCTATTTACAATTTAAACCCTACAGTTGCAAATCCTGGAGAATTACAAGCATGAGGAGAGTTGTAAAGACTTGGGCATTCAAGAATTATACACACAGATTCTTGTAGAATTCTTAATTGCTCCTGAGGTGATGTGGTTAAGTATTCCTGGGGCTGTATCATCTGGCATCTGTTTACTACCTAGTTTCTTCCATGCCTTGTATAGGAATTTTAAGAGAAAAATCGATCTCTTTTCTATCTACATTTCATTTGAATGATGGCTTGGTTTCCATATCAGCTGATTTTAAGACATATTCAGAGCTTTCCATATTATTTTCTTTTATTGAAGAGAGATGATTTTCCAGCTATCCTATGTTTAAGTGCTTGGGAGGTTTATTGGATGCTTGGAATGTTCTTGGATGCTTGGAATGTTCTTCAAGTGGCTGCAGAGTGAATGAAAAGAAGTCCCTTACTCATTGGCGCTTGATACAACTGGGCAAGAAACAGCCGTTAACCGTGTTGGAGAAGTTTCTATTTGTGTTTCTATAAGCATTATCATGCATTATGTTTCTAATAGTGTCTCATTTCTTTTATTGGCTTGTGGATAAACAATATGGGTGTGATTTTTTTATATAAACAGAAACATAACTTGACCTTAAAAATAATGTTTTTCAAAGAATCACAAAAACTGAAAAGCATGATAATCTTAATTTAAAACCTTTATTTATGGCATATGAAATACATTCAAATACAAGTTTTAAAATGTATAAAGTTTATTTTGTTTTAAAAAATCTGTGTTTAAAAAATTCTTTGTTGCCTGGCCTGTACTGAACAAGAGCTGCCAGTGAGTGGTACCGTATCAGCGTGAGCTGTTCAGTTTGGCTGATTGGCCATCTTTTTGTAGTGAGTATGGGAAGAAAAGAAAAAGAAGAAATAAAGCTCATTTCCTATGATTCTGGCTGTTTACCACAAATATAGGAAGCTTCAATTATAAGGGTAGAAGGAAGATGATTAAGTGGTATAAATCTGAAATAAGAAATCAGCTAGTTGCTATTTACATGAGAGATGAATTAGCATAGTGTTGGAACACATGACATTTCAAGGTCTTTGGTATTAAAATCGCAGTTGCATACTATAATGGTAAGGTCACCGCCCAGAATTAATGTGCTGTTCTGTGTTTAAGGATCCTCATCCTTTTGTTTATTCCCACAGACTTGTGTTGAATACCAATCATTAATCTCTTCTAGAATGTCATCGATAGGTATTTACCAAAGCCCAGTGGGCAAGCCTTCTTAACAGCACTCTTGTTTCATGGCAGCAAAAGTGCTGATATGGGACAACATCTCCTGGATTTCTTAATAGAAGTGAATGGGATCACTAGGAAGAATAGTTGTTTGGGTAGCTATGGGGATAGGAAGTTTTTCTTTCCTGCACTGTGCTCTTGCCTCTCACCTTCCACCCATCCTAGGCACATTTGTGTGAGTGACTGACTGCATTAGATAGCATTCCTTCCTGTTTGCCTCACAAAACAAGGCTATTTGCCAGAGGCAAAGACATACTTCACATTCTTTTTCTCTTAAAGGAAGGACTTGTTTTGTGAAACATAGTAACCTATAATTAAACAGGGCTTTTCCTTCTCATCTATTCATTGTAAACATTGATGCTAGTTTGGATGTCAGTTATGTTCAAACACATTGATTCTTTCATGCAGAAATAGCGATTAAGATAGGAAGTTGGTGTAATTTTCTCTTGTGGACTTCTGGTGAATACCACTCTCTGGTAAGCATAAAGAATACAGCCTGATCCTTCTGATGATATAAAACAGTGTCGCTCAGAATACCACCAGTAAATGGGATGTTAGAGGAAAAAGGATAGAGCAGTAATGTACAGTGATTTCACTTTCCCATTATAGCCTCTTGAAAAACCTTCTCTAGAGGATTGGGGGACCCATGACAAACAGCATGGGTGGTGGTACTGGAGGCTGCCAGGGAAGGACAAATTAGCAAAAATCACTGCCATGTGCCCTTGCATCGGAATTCCCCAACACATATGGGAAACAGACCCAAAAATAATGATGATGTATATCTGACACACTGTATTTGCTCTGTTACCTGCAGGAGTGCATTGTGGGCATTGCTTTGGTATTCTAGAATATCGATTCATTCATTTTGGATTTATTAGATTTAATGCCTCTTTATTCTAACTGTTTGTAGACATTTATCTATTTTGTATGTGTTTACAGAGACAGTTACACACACACAAAATGTACCTTGCTGCATCTGCTCAAAGGCTTCCCAGGGTATAAAGGTCCTAAAGCATTTTTGTTAGATATTCAGAATTTATCTTCTACAGACCTCTAATAGGAAGGAAATTTCAGATTTGGAAATCAGTTCCTAAGTAATATTTGAGGTGTAGGCATCCTTCAGTCTCAAGAGACTATGGTAACGTGCTCTGAATAGAGGTCTTGAGGTGGAGTATCATATTTTGGTCTTTATTTTCACTTTTCACTTCCCCTTCAGTCTCAAAGGATCACTTATGTCACTTATAACGGATAGATTCCTGTAATTCTGCAGAAACATACTGCCTATAAATCATAGTCAAGGCCATTCACTTTTATGTTCTCATTTCATAGATCCAAGTCTAAACAGATAGAATAGTTAATTAGTACAATATGGGGTTCAATTAATCTTCTCTATCCTCAGCAACATGGGCAGTTTTTCTGCTTCCTCAATGATAGATTAATGCCCTTGTCACTATTTTTCATTATGCATTTTACTTATTTAAATATTTGTATCCCATTTTGCCTAACAATCTACTTGGCCCAACTTAGAATGAGAACATAGATACACAAAATGTCATTGCCAGTACAAAATACGTAGCATAAACTTCCACCCATAACCGAATTTTTGCCTTTATAAAATCGTGCTTCTGTATCTAAGAATACTGTACCATAACACCCCAAACACATTCAGTCTCATCTGGTTTTGGAAGTTAAGCAGGGGCAGGTTTGGTTACTTCTTGCATGGAAACTCTCCATCAACTCTGAGGGATTTCCATTAGAGATGGCTACAAACCTCAGGGACGTGGTGGTGCTGCGGGTTAAACCGCAGAAGCCGCTGTGCTGCAAGGTCAGAAGACTTGCAGTCATAAGATCGAATCCATGCAACAGAGTGAGCTCCTATCGCTTGTCCCAGCTCCTGTGTCTAGTCACACTGGCCACGTGACCACGGAAACTGCTGGCTCTACAGCTTGGAAATGGGGATGAGCACCGTGCCCTAGAGTCAGACACACCTGGACTAAATGTCAAGGGGAACCTTTACCTTTACGTACTAACCTCCGTTCAGAGTTTCATGCCATCTCATACCTATGGTGCTGTGCATTCCCTTCTCCTATCTCCCCGACCGATGACCCACACACCAGTTGGCGCGTGCTCCTGTCGTCCTTGTTTTTGGCTGTTTGACCAGTCCTTGGCAGGACCACAGGTTTGCTTGTTCTGTCTTTTTGTCTGAGTGGGTGATGAGACAAGGAGGCTGTACTCCTACTGGAGACTAGACAAACAGCCAAAGAGGAGGAGGAAAGGAGCATGTACTGGCTGGTGAATGGGGAATCCACGGAGGTGGGAGATGAACTGGCAGGAACCTCTGAACTGAGATTTGTGCCTATCACTTATCTCTAAATACTACTTGGAATTCATCCTCCCTGAAACCCTGCAGAGCTACTGCTGCCAGCCAGATCTGACAGTACTGGGTTAGATGAATAACTGGTCTGACTCAATATAAGACAGCTTCCTATGTTGCAGGAGCTTTCCTGGGTGTAAATGGGCTTGAAAACAGGGTGCATGTTCTTCTCTGGCCTTGTTTTTTTTTGGGGGGGGTGATGCAGAGGGCAGATGAGCACAGCACAATGTCAAGTTTAACAACAGCAGAAGGGATAGCAGGGGCTCAAAAGGGCAGAAAGCTGCACTATTAAACCAGAGTAAATAACACTATACGGTAACCTTCTGACAACTGCCAGAAGCACAACTGTGACTCCAATGGAAGGAATGGTACAGGATTAAGACAGATACTTTCCATGTCACAAGCCTTTTTTTTTATAGCTTTACAGATAGGATTTGAGACATTAAGCACTTGATATGTTCAACTGCCAGTTGGATTTGTGGTAAAACATTCAGAAGGCCCCTGTTATGGATTTGTGGTAAAACACAAGCGGAGCCCAATTTTTTCCATCCTGATATAAAGTATGAATGGTCCTTCAGAAGAATTAATGCAAGATCTAAAAATGATGCAGGCACTCTGTCCTTCCTCCATGTACTAAGAATATATCATGAGGAAGGTTTACATTTTAAAACTAGTGTTGCTAAGGAGCATCCCACTTAGTGTAGTAATAGCATTACAAGTTGTCGATGCAAGGCAATGCAATCCTGTGCATGTTTACTCAGGAGTGAGGCCCTCTGTTGTGAATTAGGAACATACTTAAATGAAAATAAGTACTGTTATTATAGTAAATATTGTTCTGAATGTTGACTTGCAGGCTGTTAATCTCTTCCTTGAAACTGAGGCAGGAAATGATTTATCATCACTCCATAATGGACACTGGATGGCTGTGTTTTCTGTACTGCACTTGCTGTTGTTGCTTAGAATATGATTGCGGCACAATAAAGTTGTTTTTTGGGTGATCAGTCCTAGAATCTCCAAATCAGCATGGTTATTGGCTGCATTGACTTGGAAATTCTGAGAGATGTAACTCAAGAAAGTAAATTTTCCAACCTCTGTACCTGATTACAGTAGAATTATGCTCAGTAGATACTGCTTTCTCTTCA